TGTTGCAGCAGTAACAAAAAGCCATCCCACCACTTGTCTTCATCTGAACCTCAGAGCTACCATGTGCTTCAAAACTGGGCCTCCTCATCACCTGCTTATTAAGCAGCCAACAGGAGACCACATTCGATATCGTTGTGCTTCTTCCAGCTGTTTCTTCACTGACAGAAACCAGCAACCTCTGTGAAACATCCTTCATCAGACTTCTCTAAAATCCTAACTACTATGCATGTCTGATGTAATGGAAAGTAGAGCTGCACAGGAGATAATCTCTTTTTTGTGTTGAAATTATACATCAGCTGCCTGTGAGCACTAGGATAAAACTGTAAGGTTTGCTATGTTTTTAAAGATGCAAATAATTTAAGAATGTAAGTCTGTACTGTCAGAGGAGTTCCCATACCATGCACACAAGAAAAAGTGAAAGAATGCCAACTCGCATCAATCTCCGGAAAGAATATTGTGGCATAACACTTATGATTGAGTAACAAATGTGACCAAAAATCACCAGCCTAGATAACAGGAATTCACTAGTCACAAAAGCATGAGATGAGTTATTTGTTTAGGCTTCTCATCAGCTTTGCTCTGGTCTGAAGTCAGTTTAGGGAAAAATCCTGCAGACTTTTCCTACATCATCCAGTTCAGGGTAACAACACTGAGCCTTGCATTTTCCAAAGCTGCTGAAAAAAATGAGTATAGGACTTGCTACTCAGGTGCCCACCAAAATCTCAGTTTCCATCTTCATAAAGCCAAGTCTCTATCTGTTATGGCTTCAGCAGAAAATTTCACAATATAAACAGAAGCAAGCAATGTGTAGACATCTATACATCATCCGAAAAGGCAATTTTACGGTCTGAAGTGTCCAGTCATCCACTTTATCCCACAAGTACTTGCCACCTGCTGGCAACGCAGAGAAGTGGCCAGCAATCTGCACTTCCCAGATAACCCCTTCGCATGGTAGACAGAATATCCTACAATGCCACAGACCTTCGCAAGCACTAGGATTTTGCATAGGCATACAAAATCACACTTACTTTTTCCTTCCCAAACGTAAGTTTGAAAGTTCCACCTCCTCTCTTGCTACCCCATGACTTGAAGTGCTTCACTGTAGCTTTTTCTTGCTACTATACTTAAAATTTAAAATGATGAAACAAAACCTGTTACATTAAGATTGTTTATTTTAAATGGTATTCTGAAACTTGTGGTTATATACAAATCTTCAAACTATGAAGCTTAAAATTGCATGGCGACTGTCTTCACCAAATAAGGCGGCTCAGCCAATCTCATCAGAGCTGATTTCATTGAAGTTTGATTATTCAGAGTACAGCATGGCTCCAAAAAGGTTGTAATCCATGAAGGCACCAGCACCAATGGAGGTAAGCCTTCCTACGTGAAAAGCTGCTCGAGGACCCCGTAGTTACCAAGTTAACATTTCTTGAATTTGAGAGCATCACCAGCCGGGAAAGATTGGAGTGAAACCAATGGTCACGGTGGAAAGGCCTTTACACTGCACTCAAAATCTGGAGACAGGTACCCCCTAGAGTGGCTTTTCCACGCCAGCCATACTCACTGCGCTTTTTTGCTCAATCAACTGGGCCAGTTAGGGGAGGGGGGGGAAAAAAAAAAAAAAAAGTGCCCAATCAACTGGGCCAGTTAGGGGGGGGGGGGGAAAAAAAAAAAAAAAAAAGGCAGCTTATGCTGCTATGATAATTTGGCAACCATCTTTAGAGACAGGTTTTTTTTTTAGGGATAATTAATAGGTATGAACAGGATTTATGTCAGTGCTGAAACTTGAGTTTAGATACTAGGTGTAGGGATGGGATGAAACATATCACCCCGCAGCCAATAGACAGAAACTTATCATTTCACTGGATTGACATGGAAAGCAGCTGAATTACTGCCTCCTCTTGTGCTCCCCCAATACTAAAGGTAAAGAGATACACTTCATGAGTTTATTTTATACACAGACAATTAAAAATACATTTTAGTAATGTTTCCCATAAAAATCTTACCAATAGCACAGTATTGAAATCAGTGCAATAAAATTAAAATGACAGGAAGGAGTATTTACAACGATATTGTATTGTACCAAAATAGCAAGATCAGAAATTTCTAAAGTGCAAAGTTGGCTATAGTCTACACGGATACAGGGACCTGTTTTCTTGCTTATACTATGAACCAATACCACCATTACAGACGCACCACCTATTCATGCTGAACACTTAAGTGACCAAGCGTCATCCTTAGGTTGACAGGTAAAACTCCTCTACCGAATCCTGTGGGAGGCAGACATCAGCATCCAAGGGCCAAATTTAGTCCCTCAGTTCTAGGGAGTGTTACATGCTGGATGGAGATTAACTACTGTAAACCCAGGAAAATGAAACATGGAGGAAGTGTATGTAAATACATGGAAGAAGGTATTTAAATAGGCATCTTACAAAAAGCTTAATGGTTTGTTTTGTAGTAGATTAAAGACAATTACTGCATTTTTAAAAGCACAAAACAGACGGCTCAGCACTCTGCATTTTATTTAGCTGCAGTTTTGTCCTAGTTCAGACTGGGCACAAATTTTTAAAGACTATTTACACTAACAAGATTTGCAGGTTTAGCCATGACAGCCTCTAAAACCAGAGTGAGGCCACAAAAACAGGCTCCTGCAGCATTAGAGTATTAAAAAGTCACCATTCAAAATACCTCATTCTTAAAAATTACTAAAGGAAATCAAAATAGAAGGAACGTGGCTGCTAGGTTTCCAGATTAACTGAAACTCCCAGTCAATTCACGCATATTCTTAAGCATATTGGACAGTTAATCTACACATTATTTCCAATAATTCTTGCTACTACCCAACAAAACGAAGGAGAAAATTGCCCATTGACTCACAGCTCTCTATACTTGGCAAACTGAACAGTCACCAGTTTCTTACTTTTGGGCAAAACTATCCAATGTTTGCCACAGGATTTTAACTACGGGTAAACAAAGTTTGTCTTGAAAAGCAACACATGTTAAGTGTTTGTTCCATTAGTCTATTTTTAAACTACTACATCATATTTGCTGAGACAGCTATGGCATAAGAGGTTATACAGCTAGGCTTAAGTAATGCCATAATCTGACACAATCCACTTGGTTATGCCTCAAACTATTTACAGTAAACTTGATTCAAACAAACCACTTGGTTTGCGAGAGAGTCCAAAGAATTCAGAATCTTTTCTAAGAAGTTGTTTGGGAATGTTTCAGTCATGCTCTGTTCATTTTATTTTAAGATACTCATACAGTGAAATACACCCATGGGCAGAAACCTCATTGGAAACGAGTCCCGGTACCTACACATTCATCAGCAAACAAGGGTAAGTCTGTGTCACAGTGTGCAGCAGATGGACAGGAAAATGAGGGGCGGAGGGAAAATCGAATCTAGTCTGCACAGAAAAAAACTAATTAGGTTGAGACATGTACATATTAACACACAGAGGCATCTGAAAAACAATGAGTAACAAAAAAATCATGATTATGAAACAGAGTTAAGTGCAGCTTGATCCTTAAAGTGGGCAGGCTAAGCAAATGTAGATGACTACAGCTGTAGTAAGTTTTGAGGAGAATTAAAATCTGCATAGCCAAAGTAGCTCCACACTCCATTCTGGCAAAATCTAAGCTAGTCTTTTAATAATGCAACAACTCTGAAAAGTCAGCTGCTCAAGATATGAGCAGATCTGAGTAACTCTTCATAGAACACAACCCAGGCCCCTGTGTGGCATCAGAAGAAATGGACCAATTTTTGATACAAATTCTTCTTTATACTTATTATCCTCTACCTACCTAAGCCCTTGCAGAACAGAAACTTCTTCCAAAGCAATTCAGCTGATCTTACACTTATTTTTGTTTGCAGAACTGGATGAAAGAAAGATCCATCACTGGAAGCAATGAGTTCTACATTCGATTCACTCACGACAGCCAACATTAAGATCCTCTTTGCCTTTTGCAGCAACGAATTCTGTAGTTTGGTCCAGTATCTCAGGAAGAGTCTCCGGTTTCCCATTAACCTCCTCAACAGTTTTTGTTCCACAGGCCTTCAAGGAGCTCCACACCTGCCCTCTGAGCTAAGTTACTTGAAGTCCCATGAAAAATTTCAAACACAGAAGCACCGAATTCCACCATGGAAGATGAACCGATCCAAACAGTACAAGGGGAGTAATGTGTTAACAGCATGCGCCATGCGAAGTGCATGTGCCATCATGTTTTGTTGAAACAGAAACGTTTTCAGGCTATTCAGCCACTTTCTCAGGTAAAGTGAAGTACAGCAACTGGTACCCAGAGACTGCAACACCCTCACTTCAACACAGGCATCATATTCTTTTGCATTCTGAGCAAATCAGAAAGCTATGTTTTTGTTGACATGGGTGTTTTGGAGTGTTCAGTACAAATTAATGTTATCACATTTTCCACAGCAGGCAGAAATGGAAGAAGCAAGTCCTACTAAGTTCTTTCTCAGTCTTGACGGGGCGTGGCTTTTGGCAAGTTCTCTTCATGAGGAGCTGATTTCAGTGCAACACTGCAAAAGCTGAGAAATAGCACTGTTTACACACGGCATAAAGGAAATCTAGAGCTTGGCTTCCCAGTTGTGCCATCAGCTCTCCAGCTCATCTTTCCTCTCTGTTCTCCTGACAGCTTCTTATAGACGCTACCCAGATGGAAACACAGCATCTTAGTTACCATTCCATTACCTTATGCATGACAACTTCACAAATTCAAATGGAGCTTTTATAGTGCCAGGAGATGTTAACTGTCTGCAGCTTTCAAACTTACCAAATCTTTCAAGATTCAAACACTTTGAATGAATGACATTGTGATGCATTATTTTTAAGCACTTTCATATTACTTGCTGCATCACCTTCACATACACTTTGACATTAAAGGATTTTAATTTAAGGACAGACAAGCTAAAGTATCTTACTACAAATTCTGAAACAAGAACCCTAATTTATAGAGGAAAGAACAGAGGCTAATCATTTCAGAAGAATACAAATTGTGCTCCAATTATGCAGAACCTAAGGTTTTCCAAGTCCTGTGAAATACCATAGGAGCGTTACAAACCAAATCCAGATTTTCTTCACTCACTACAATTTAGTGAATTGGAACACGACAGGGTGTTAAGCCTGAATGACAAAACCTGAATAAATATAACTGTTCATACAAACTTCTGTTTGCAGAATTTGACATTATATAGCATATAATTTAATGGAAAAACCCTCAAGTGTTACAATCATGATACTTCCTTTGCTATTTGTGGGTAGAAACTATACCCACAAAAAGAAACTCTCTAGAGGCACAGTAGGAACACTTCAGCCTACTCATTCTATGATATCCCACTAAACCCAAAAATAAGTCACATAAACTCCCAGAAATCCACCACATTCTCAAGCAAGATAGACCCATACTAACAAAAGTAAATTAACTTAGTCTTCTAATTAAAAAATAAGAATCAGGAAAAGGGAGATCAGAACTAAAGCCCCAAAGTTCAAACAATACAGTTTTAAAGTGAATTCAAAGCACTTATGGCACTTAAGAAATCTGGCATCCACTGTCTTTTTGAGGCTTTATATCTGGTTCCTTCAGAGGTTTTACTTCTTCATCTGGTTTTGGTTTAGCCTGCAAACAAGAAGGAAAAAAAGCTAAATACCACAAGTACAAACCACTGTGTCCGCACAGTATTTATGCACAGCTAACTTTACATACTCTACTCGAACAGTTCCCTCTCTTTTCAAGGCTGAAAGCTTTGAGCAAGCCTCAAGCAAGGGGGAAAAGCCAAATATTCTCTATTTCAGCATCCTTAAATGAATATGTTTCTAAAAAAGAATCTTTCTGCAGCATTCACCCCTGTAGCATTTCAGCATCTTATGCACATTAAAGAATTTCCTCCCATTCAGGACTTAGAAAAAAATGACTCCAAATTTCCAGATGCTGACAGCGTGGCAGAGAGGTTAACTGACTTGCCTCCCAGCACAGCGGAAACGTGGGCTCGGGTGGTAGCCTTGTCTCTATGTCCTGCACTGAGCTGGGGAGCATTACAGAAGAGCAAAACAGTATCTCTGTATTATACACAGAACAAAGCTAACGGGAAATACTGTAATAACAGTACATAAGATTATCTTACAGTGTCATCCTTTGGCCTCTTGGTGAGATCAAATGCTGCAAGTGTTTCAGGAGTCCAGTGTGCGTTCAAGGCAGGAAATTCAAAAGGAACAGGCTCTACTAAGCCATAGTTTGCTTTCAGTTCCAGCTGGGGAGCCTCTGCTGGCACCTTCTGAAAATAGCTGCAATAGAATACAGCAATATATGTAAAACATAATGCACTATCTCTGCAAGTCTTCTTTGCAATTCTAAAGAAAAACAATATGGGTTTTTATAGTGGCAATCATTGCTGCTCTCTTCCATTTCATTAAGGCACTGTCCAACATGCATTTTATCAGCAAGATTCTTTGCTTCAGTCTTCAGTGCTAAGACTGGCCCTCAGGAATCCCAGGCCCCGAAGGTAAGAGAAGAAGCCTACAGAGAGGATGACTTTCCCTTGGTCGAGGAGGACTGTGTGAGGGATTGCTTAAGCGATCTGGACATCCACAAATCCATGGGCCCCGATGGAATGCACCCACGAGTGCTGAGAGAGCTGGCAGACGCAATTACTGAGCCACTCTCCATCATCTTTGAGAGGTCCTGGAGGATTGGAGAGGTGCCCAAAGACTGGAGAAAAGCCAGTGTCACTCCAGTCTTCAAAAAGGGCAAGAAGGAGGACCCAGGGAACTACAGGCCAGTCAGCCTCACCTCCATCCCGGGAAAGGTGATGGAGCAGTTTATCCTGGAGGCCATCATGAAGCAAGTGGAAGAAAAGAAGGTTATCAGGAGTAGTCAGCATGGATTCACCAAGGGAAAATCATGCCTGACCAATCTAATAGCTTTCTACGATGACATGACTGGCTGGGTAGACGAAGGGAGAGC